AAGATATTTATATAAAATGAAATAATATAAAATTAACTATAACAAATATAATAAAAAGAATAAATAATATAACTATGATAAATATAATATATAATAAATAAGATATAATTAATAAAGATAATAATTCATTTATCTAATTTGTCTACTTGATCAACATTGACAACTTTAGCAACTTTGTCAACTTTGTCAACTATGTCAATCATTTAGATCACATGACTTATTTTTAACGCAGTCACAGATCACAGCTTTAATTCTCCCCTTCTAAATTTTAAGCTCCTACCCAAATATCTATAGCTTTGCTTACTAGAGACTAGTATGTATGATTAAGGAATTGATAAAGATTCTTCAACAATATATGTTTCGATCATTAAATTTAATCTATACTTAGCATTTCATAGAGGTAATAAACACGTATTAAGACAAAACTATAGTATTTAGTAACAAGTCCTCTTAATTGATTTCATTATGCTAGTGAAAAAGTTTCTGTTTTTAAAAGTTTTCTCAAGTAATAAACATTTATCAAAGTAAGAGTCCAGTCTTTCATTTGTGAAGCTCTTAATAACATTTAATATGTCATTTGAAATTTCTTTTGTAAATCAGTTCTATTTGAATATGGAGAAATAGTAGGAATTATTTTTTAAAGTAAAGTTTTATTCAAATTTTCGATATAAAGTTATTCTATATTAAAAAATAATAATGATGAGAAATAAAAAAAAATCTAATTCTGAAAAGAAGGGTCTTTATATATTTTCAAAAGATCTTCATTTACCATCTAATTCTCTTATCTTATAAGAGCCATTTAGTAAAATTTGATAGATATAATAAGGCCCTTTTCATTTTTGATCCAATTTTTCAGAATGGGTTTTATCTTTTGCAGCTTCGAAATATAGAACCTTATCTTCAATTTCATGTGAAACAGAGATTCTTATATTTTTGTCATGGTACTTCTTTTGTTACTGTTATGCAAATTATATTTATACCTTTGCATCTAATTACACCAGGGGTAATTTATTGATCAGATGATCAATTTTTTCTTAAATAATAAAATTCTGGTTGGTACAAAGATTATTAAAATCATCAGGATTATTAATAGGTAACATTGCATTTCATCTATAAATTAAATAAAAGGGTTCAATTTTTGTGGCTGATTATTTGCTTGTGCAATAAACAAATAGAATAGGAGAGATATATTAGTCTATTGGATCGATATTTAAGCCAATTTTGCTAATGATTCACATAGAGTTCTATTGAAACTTTCTACTAATCCATTTATTCTAGAATAATAAGGAGTAGATAGATTATGACAAATATGAAATTGCTCTATCAATTCTGTAACTAATTGATTATTAAAATAAGATCCCCTATCTGATAAGATCTTAGTTAGACATCCATGTCAGCAAATAATATTCTCGTATAAGAACTTAACAATATTTTTAGTAGTAGCATCTTTAATTGCTCTAACTTTTAGCCATTTCATTAAATAATCTATAGTAACAATAATGTGTCTATTTTCTCTACTAGTTCGTGGTAAAGGTTTAACAAAATCTATTCTAATTCTATAAAATGGTGAATCAACTGGAATAAGATATAACTCATTCTTTATTTTAGGTTTTCCTCATTGTTGGTAAGCATCACATGATTAAATATATTTTCTGATACTTTTATATATTTAAGGTCAATAATATCTAGTATGAACTTTGTTAAACATGATATCAGTAGAAAAGTGTCCAGCTATTAGATCATTATGCATTATGTAAAGGATTACATTTAGTTCAGTTTCTTTGATGACGTTCATGAGCATTTCTTTGTCTTTGCTTTTTATATAAGAAATCAAGTTGAACTGTATAAAATTTTGATTGTATTAAGGTTATATAAACAAATAAATTATTATATTGATTAAATTCCATAATGTTTGAGCTGCCTATCACAATGTAGATACTTTCACTTTCACTCTAAATAATTATTACTAATATTACTTGAATAAATATGGATATGAATCAAAATATTTAAATATGAGAAATAAGAAGACATTTAGGATTTTTAAGCATATAATAAAATTAAGAATAAAGGTTTTCTTGTTGAACTAAAATTGGTTCATCTTACTAAAAGTCATTAGTTAAATAATTAGGATTTCTAATGATACAATGATGTTTGATCATTCCATATGGTAAATTTCTTTTACAAGCCTTACAATATGTATGGATATGATGATTTTGTATATCTGAAACCTGTGAAAGGTTACGCCGATGGTGTAGCGCAGCTGTCAAAATAACTGACTGTCGGATTACCATCAGGCATAACAAATTAGACACGATCACAAGTTTCGTGATCCAAACAATAACAGTTCGTGTTGCATTGATTATTTAATAATCAGTTTATCATTTTTTCTCATACACACCCTTTCACACTTTCTTTTTTTTCGCACATTCTTTTTTGATACTTTCTTTTTCAATTTCTTTTCTTTTACTATACGAAAGTATATACACTTATGAAAATTCCCTTTTATTAAGAAGTACCTGTTGATTTTAAGTTACACAATTCAAGTTTCGTGATTTGTGAAACAGTACGCGATTATGGAAGCCGATAACAAAGAAAATACCTCCCAGGTTAGTCAATCTTGCACATTTTTTTGTTATTATCGAAAAATGTACTTTTATAATAAAAAAAAACTTTATTTTATATATTTTAATATTTTATATAGAATCTATTTAATGTATAATTTATATTTCTATTGTATTATTAATATTAATGTAATAATGTCTATTTTTTGTATTTATTAATATATAGTATATATAATAAATTATCTAAAACTATTTATTAAGCGAAGAATTTTACTTATTATAATTTAATGTTAAATTAACTAAATTAATTTAATACATTTAGATATTTACCTAAAATTTGTTACCGGATGTTTTAAAACTAATCCTTCCTCAGAACTATACATACCTAATCAAAAATTTTAATGATATGCCTCCGTATCAAACACAAGAGAACTTTGAAGTCCCAAATTTTGAGTTAGATATTTTTGTAGATGTTGGTAGTAAAGAGGCAGCATCCGAATGAATTGCAGAATTCCAATCTTATTCAAAAACAACGATGCCTCAAACAAGTGGCTATGACATTAAAGGAAATTGTGTTCTTTTTCGAAAAAAATGACACTGTCTTCATAGTCATGAGGAGAAAAAAAACAAGGGAAAAACACTACAGTAAAGCGTTTGCAATCACTTCGGGTACGAGATGTAGGCTGTAATGCTACCATTCACATATGACTAGAGCGTCATCGACTTCCGCTTACTCATCCATTAGAAGTTAATATAAGATATATGTATAATCATGTGATCAACTCAGCAGAGTTGCTGAGTTTTCGACGTGTTAACGAAGAAGTTCGTGAAGAACTCCTCAACCTTTTCAAAGATGGTTATTCCCCTGCTTCGGCACTATATGTTTATCAAGATGAACTTCACCTTAGAGCTAATGATAAATAGGAATTGATTGAATTTCTTGCAGATCGATCGATAAATCCAGACTATGACTATACTACAAAGCTTTTTCAAGAATATCGTAAGGCCACGCTTAGAAGTTGTAATGGTGAATCAATGTTTGAACGACTAGCAGAAGTCATTAAAAATTATAATGATTCAGATCAGGGAAAGGTCATTTTACAAGCATATGATGCACGCATAGGAAAAGCATTTATCCTTTATATTGTGACCAATCTCATGAGCCGAGTGCATGAAAAAGTTCCCCAAGCAGGAAAACTTTATTATGTTAATGCATCAGCTTCATTTGAACCGTTAAACACTTTAATCACCCTTCTTTATACTAGTTGCGCAGTTGGAGCTCTTCCTTTTAGGTTGTTTATCATGTTGGATGAGCTTGAAGTTACTTTAGAAAGAGCGGTATTTAATTTCTTATTATTATTGAATAATCTAGTATATATAAAAAAATATATGGTAAATTAATTTATATTTGTTATTTATTGATTAAACCTAGATTAATATGCTAAAGATAATACTTTCTTCATGTGTTTTATGGCCGTGGACCACAAACAGGACCCATATTATTTCTTACAGATGATTCAAGTGTGGAGAGAAATGCCCTGGAGCTATGTTACCAAAAGGGATTTGCCTTTTATGTACGTTTCATATCCTACAGTCATTTTGGAGATGGCTACATGATGTGAAATATTACATCAGAAAAGAAGATCGTGCATCTATTATGGTAAAAATGAAGAAAATTATTTATGCTGCTTCGAGTGTGGAAATGGATACATGCTATTATGAATTCAAACAAGAATTCTATCATACTTACCCTCAGTTACAAAAACACTTTGAACTTCTTTGGAAACGCCAAAACTTCTGGGCTCTTTCTTATCATATAGGATTGCCCATACGTGGAAACAATACAAACAATTATGTCGAAAGGAGCTTTGGAATATTGAAGGATATTGTTTTTGCAAGGACCCAGGTATTCAACTGTGTTCAAGTATTTCAATTCATCAATACAAACATGGAAAGGTTCTACGAATATTGTTTACTTAACTTTGCAAATAAATATTCAGGTCATCTATGTATTGCGAAACGGTTCTTATGTCCCAGTTAGGAACAAGTTAATACAAATGAAATTCAAGAGACAAATGTAATAAATGAATTTCTGGTACCCAGTATAAAGCAAAATACCGATCTTTTTTATATTATAAACATCGAAATTGGAACATGTTCCTGTTTTGTTAGGATATCTGGTGTTCTGTGCAAGCATCAAGGAGCTGTTTCGGTAAAGTTTGGCATTTCAACGTTCAATTACATTCCATCGTTGACGCTGGATGACCACATACTTTATACTTATATAGCATTAGGTAGGTAAATGCTCTTTGCTAAATTGCATTTTTATTGCTAATTTATTAATTTATTAATTTTGTCTAATTTAACTGCTCTTTAGGTTATGTTGCTAAGGATAGGTCTTTCTATGCATCATTGCATGCACGGCCCACTTCACAAAATCAAATCTTACATGCTAAAATAGGAACATTGGATAATAATTTGATTATCGATTGGGAGTAAGTTTTATTTTATTAGTTAATTATACAAGAATTGAATAATTTACAAAATTTCTGATAATTTTTTTAGAGGAACAAATGAGAAAAATAAGGAAA